TATATAAATTGTTAAATACGCGCGCGTATCATTTTATAATGGTATTGCAAAAATCTTTTTCTGATTTGCATGCCCCCGCCTCCCCCTGCTTCTTTGCTTTTACATCCCATTTGACTGACAATTTTTAACTGAATGAATACATCTTACATGTTTATTACGCATCTCGTTAAATAGTGAATGTCATCCGTAACTTCTCCCAATTTAAATCAATTTTATATTTTTTCGTTACCATTGACTAGCGCTCTGTATCTTATCAATAAATTTGCCATTGTTTTATTAAATTAAAAAGAAACGGAAATATTTAGTAAAGCTTAATAAAATATAAAAATTAAAATATATTTGATTGTAACAAAGTTTTACAAGTCCAATTGTATTTTTAGCAAATGCAGTCTCTTCCTGCTCCTGTTAAACGCAGGATCAAGGCATTGAAACAATTGCAACTCGTCACTACTAACATTGAAGCTAAATTTTATGAGGAGGTCCATGCCTTGGAATGTGAATACTATAAAATGTGTGCGCCCTTATATGAGAAGCGGTGTGAGATAATATCGGGTGCTTATGAACCAACTGATGAACAATGCGTTTGGGACAGCGATGATGATGAAGAAACGCTAAATAATTATATGAAAGAGAAAGCAAAGATCGAGGATTCTGTAGAAACAAAGGAAACGTATGTTATTGTTTTTTTAAATAATATGTATCTGCTTACATATATCTAAGATTAGATACCATTTGTTATACATGCAATTAATTAGTGCATATTAATTTGTATAATGTATTTTAGAACGGAGAATGAGGATGATACTAAAGGCATCCCCGATTTCTGGCTAACAATATTTAAGAATGTAAGTACTCTATCCGAAATGGTTCAGGAACATGACGAACCAATCTTGAAGCATCTACATGATATCAAAGTAAAATTTCTGCCATCAAATCCAATGGTAAGTTGTGAAACAAAGTGATATAATTAACAATTAAAAAAGGATATGATTTAAATTAATATTTTTTTTAGGGATTTATTCTTGAATTTTATTTTACGCCCAACGAATATTTCTCGAACGCAATACTCACTAAAGAATATATTATGAAATGTACTCCAGATAAGAATGATCCATTCAGTTTCGAAGGACCGGAGATATATAAATGCAAAGTAAAGCTTTTACTTGATCTAATTGATTTCCAAATAATTACGATGCTAAATGCAAGAATTTTCTCATAGGGTTGCGTAATTGATTGGAAAAAAGGCAAGAATGTTACAATTAAAACTATTAAGAAAAATCAGAAGCATAAATCTCGAGGATCCATGCGTACCGTGACGAAAACTGTTCAAAACGATTCCTTCTTCAATTTCTTTAGTCCACCAATTGGTAATTAATATTAGACCTATCTTTTAGTTTTTTGTGTAGAACTAAAAAAAACGACTTGCAATTTAATTTTGCTTTAAACATTTTCAGTGCCAGAAGACTCGGAAGCTGATATGGATGATGATACTCAAGCTTTACTAACCAGCGATTTTGAATTAGGCCATTATATTAGAGAACGCATAGTTCCTAGAGCTGTACTTTACTATACAGGTAACGTCTATGATTATATTGATATAATTTCTTATTGTGAACATAATGGATATGGCGGAATAATTTTTTTTTTATTAAAAAACCTATTAACATGCGACATATAAGGTTGATCAACATTTAAATTTCGAAGTATATCTGTAGTTAATATATTCTTGTGTTTATATTCGCGAATATTTTCATTATGAGACAAATTTAATTTCAGGCGAAGGTTTAGACGATGAAGACGAGGATTACGAGGATGAGGATGAAGGAGATGATGATGAAGACGAGGAAGACGAGGAAGAAGAGGCATCTTCTCCTGTTAATGCGCCTTCAGGTGGGAAACAAGGCGATGATCCCAATGAGTGTAAACAACAGTAGAATTACATTAATTGTGCCGTAATGAGAAAAGAAAAAAAAATCGTTCGTGCGTTACAGTATGCAACAACACACTAACGACACCTCTGACCGATAACTGCCTAGATAATCCTGCACCTTGTGGCTCCAAATGTAATCCCTGTTCTTCGTATCAATCATCTAATCATATCATATCTCCTATTCCAGATCAAGCATAGAACTCTTCAACATACCAGTGATACAAAAAAAACATTTAACAAAAGAAATTATACGTACCAATCTTCCCTATATCGCCGTTGATGATGAGTAGAATGTGCGCCTCATTATACTTCTGCTATAAGGTTTTAATCATAAGTATATAATAATTGCTCTCGCTCTCGACACTAATTATCAATTTTTAATTGCTTCATTTTATACTACTTGTTACGTTTTTATAATGCGCTGACAGAGAGGTTGTTCGAATTCTTTTCCGAGAAACGCACGTTGCTCTATGGATAAATTTTTGGGTACTGTTGAAGCATTTTTAATACAAAAGTGAAGAAAAAAATATTTCTGTGTTTCATTCTTCGTCTTTATTCCTTCATAAAGTGTCCTTCCAAGACCTTCGTAAAAAGAATGATCTTTGGGCATTATTTACAATTGTTATATTAATGTCATGCTTTCATCTATAAATTCGCTACGGAAACGTTTGATACAACGATTTTGTATTACGTCGAAACGGTTCCGAATATAATATTTTAACGTGGTTTAAAACGCACTACGTCAGATATATATGAAAATATAATATAAAAAACATTCGCATATATCACGTTTTGAACTCTCGAGTACACTAGAGAAAAATCTTAATAGATAGAATTTTGGTTTAAAAGATTTTTCTGAAAGGGATTGCTTTTCGAGATTTAATTTTAATAAACAATTCTTTTGGAGTTAAATAACATTTTTTACGTTATTTGTAATTTTCAATGCAAAAAGCGTATATAAGAAGCGGCAACAATTTTTATTTTGTGTCTTGGCCCATTTCGGAAGCTAGTTATATTTTTTAATTCAACAGTAATCTTTGGAAAAATTCTAGTCTTCATGCCACGTCAGCTATATTAAACTTTGTGGAGCAGATCATAAAATTTACAATTAATATAGAACTGAACGTGTAATCATGTAACGATATATGATTCCATAACATTTTTTATATCTGTATTTAATTTCTCATATGAACATATTCTCATGCATATTAGATTTGATGAACACTTAGGTATTTTGCGCTATGTTAAAATGCGGTAATTTATGCTGTGCAATATTGCACGTCAATACGGTCAAAAACGTGCGTCATCGAAATGAATGTTTATTAATTACTGTGAATGTGTGATTCATTTACATTCACACACTATGAACGACTGGTAAAAAAATGGCATACGTGTTCTTGAAAGAAAAATTCAAAAAACGATTTGTGGCGCCAGGAAAGAATTGACAATGTAATCTTGCACAGCGTATAATCTAATATTCTTGTATATAATGTAATACAGGGATATATATATATAAAAGATACACCTTACTTCTAATAAAACAAACTACGCATTTGATATTATGGTACCTAGAATGTTGTAAATAAATAACTGTACAAGGATTGAAAAATTGATCGAAATAATTAATTGCAAATTAATTTCGCTGAAATATCTCAAACAGAATATGTCGTTTTTACCGTTAAATGGCACATGCCTAACGGTAAAACGATAATAATAAATATAAAATCGCTTTTTACGATTCTTATTATTGGAACGGTTTACTTGCAATCGAATTTTTAGCCGTTTGCATGTATCGCATTTGTTTTAATCCTCTAAAAAGTACTTATAAAAATACAATTTCTAGATAATGTATTATCTCTCTTTCTCCCTCTCTTTCTTTTTGGCTAGAGTTTCACATCGATATGAAGAAACTCTAAATTATGAAAATTTTCGTTAGGCCATGACTTAATAAGAAGACGATGATACAAGATAATGTGCGATGAAGGTAGGAGAGTCAGGTACCAATTTGCTCTCGCAAAATGTACCGACCCGACTGCAACAAGCCAACAGAAAGAAATAAATCATACGATTTTTCTCCCATTTTGTCAGAATGGCAGATCAAGTCTTGCCCTGATCCCCTCCTCCATTTTCAGTGTATGTAGAGCTGTTTCGGGAGGTTCGTTATTCAATTATCAACGTAAAGACACAGAAAAAAATTATTTTAATCCTGTGTCTGGCAATATTTTTTTACTAAGCGTTTCCCTCTTCATCTTCGTCCTCGCACGATACCGCCTCGGTACTACGAGGCAACAGCATAGATACATGACCGTATCTAAGGAAAGATTATTTCATTAAAATTTTCAAATCCTGTAATCTATCATATAAAATACATCTGCGAGATCTCACACACATAAAAAAGGTATATATTACTATCTATGCATTTAATTATAGGATATATCAACGGATTATATTATGTGTGTTATATGATCTATTTTATATATATATATATAGTTTTTAATATTTATACTTACTTGCTGCTTCTGTACTTCTCCTGTATTGCCGTTTGCTGAAAGTTAGGAGCATTGGAGAAGGTTCTGTTCAAATACGCAATACATTCCTTAAGAGTTTTTAAATTGTATCCAGTTGACAGTTCCAATTCGTGTGGCCAAATCTCGTCATGTAACGTATGCCGCGCTAGTGCTATCGCAGACGCAGCCAAGTGACTGGGCAAATATTGTAAGTATGGGTCTCCCTCCAGCATTGACAACTCACATAAGTACTAAAATAACAAAATGTATAAAATTTCTTAAAAATTAAGAAAAGAAAAAAATTAAGAATGTTACATATATTTTTTAATAAAATGAAAAAATTATGAAAAAAACTATAAATTTTTCTATATTGTATTTGAAAATAATACAAACAATTTGGTAGATGTAGAGAATCTGGATAAAATATTATTTCAACAAGTTAACATGTTTAAAAGAAAAATAATTAAGATAAAAAATTAGAAAATTATCATTTAAATTATACAGCAGTATTATTAAATATGAATATTGAGTTATTGAAACATATTTACACAGGTATATAAAATTTTGTTTGTACAAAAAATGTAAATTTCCAATTTCAGTTATTTTTTTGTAAAGATTATACATATCCCTAAGAAATTTCAGAAAATATATAGCAATATTAAATATCCAAATTATTTATACTCATTAAAACTTACCATTGCCAAAAATTTAACTTTATCCGATAAGTTGTTGCTGATACAGTATTCCATAAGAAATGTGACATGCGTCGGTATAGTTAAATCAAACGATAAAACTCTCAATATCAAATTTTCCATTTTTATCACTTGTGTTTTTGAATATGTATCATCCGTGATATATACAAATTCTCCTACATCAGGAGGATAAATCTCCTCGTATTTCCTATTAGATATAAATACATTATATTTTTTTAAAATAAGAATTTCATTAAAAAATTAAAGTGTTAAACAGTTTACGTTCAATGAGAATTGTTATATATAGATTTTATCAAAGTATGATTATTCAAAATAAACTTACGCTGCAATAAACATAGCGGCAGTCCCAACAAGTTGTAATTTTGATCTTACAACACTCATGTACGATAAAAAGCGATCAATATATGAAATGGCCAAGTAAAGCGTCTCGTCCTGCAATCGATATTCTTCAGCTACCTCTACAAGCCAATCTATCAATATAGATCTCATTGAATATGTAATATCAGGTTGTTTCTTCATATAACCAGGCTTTGGTCTATGTAGTAACTGAAAAAAGATAATAAAAATTTTAGTATTGAAATAATTAAAAGTTTTCCAGATTTTTTCTCTAGACATAGAATGAAATGAGTTATTCTTTTCATAATAAAAAATATTTAAATGAAAAATATATTTAGATTAAACATTATTAACTTAATATTAAATTTCTATTAACCCTTAATACATATTAATGATTTTCTGATCCTTTACTGTACACAATGGGTCATTTGTATTTCAAATTAATTTTCAACACTTTAACAAACATATAAAAATTATTTTTACATATATTTTAACATCTTTAGAAAGTAACTTGTACGGTTGTGCATTTAAAAAAATTATATATAAATGTTATAACTAAATAATCTTAGTTTTTCAAAGAAAAAAGTACAGGATACGAATGACTCAATCATGTGCGTGTGAATTTAATTAAAAATTAACCTTGTTTAATCTTGTTAAAAATTAAATTAATCTTGTTAAATCAATTTTACTTTAATAGAGTATTTATTGAGATTTTGTAAAAATTCTTCGAAAATTTCTGAATTATTTCTAGGTATTTTTGGTAAAAATTCCAAGATTAGAGAATTTTTTAATGTAACTTTAAAATAAAGGAATGAAATTGGTGTGCAACATAAATTAAAATATTGAAATTAATAAAGGACAGAGATTCCACAATAGATATAGTTTTACAATAATAGACTATATCTTATTATTTTCTACAATTAGAGCCGTAAACTTTATATAGCTTAATATAATGAATAAGCATTATAATGTGATATCAGTGAACTATTTTGAGTAATATCTTCTACTGTCGATCTGATTTTTTTATTAGAAAAAAACTTATGATATGTAAGAGTGTATGTGAATATACATGGATGTCATATTTATTGCTAACCAATTGTCATTTTGCATTATCAAAAAAAAAAAAAAAAAAAGATTTTTCGAAGAAAATTTTTAGAAAAACAGAATTTAAATTTAAAATGTAAAATTTCAAAAATTTGCGAATTTTGATAAAATTTCATGAAAATCCCTGATTTTCAAAAACAGAAAAGAAATTCCCTGAAAATTTCAGGTTTTCCAGAAGTTTCCAGGTAAACACTTCGTTTAATATTAATTTATACAAATTAATATAGAATAAAAACAAGCGTATACCTCTGATGTTCGTAAATAATTGTATATATCAGCTCTATATTCATCTACATCAAAGATATTAATTCTCAATTCCTTATTACATTCTCTTCTGAGTCTATACTCCTCGTTGGAAGAACTGCTATATGTGAGAGATTTCTCCAATGACATTCCCAGGGACATGGGACTATCTTTCGATAAGATATCATCCTTCTTTTTTTGATCGACTTCTTCGATCTTATTACAAAACAGATAAGTAGAAGTGCTATCTATAGTGTGTATTTCTAATCTTGGCTGTTCTTTATCGGATTTTGCTATTGTTTCTTTTACTTCCTTGTTCTCCTTTGAGTTTCTAAGAGCGACAGATCTCTCTTCTTCTAATTTATCCTCGTAAATTTTGAAGGTTGGTTCCTCCTTCTTACAAAAGTCTTCTTCATAAATTTTGAAAGACTCCGATTGCATAGGTATAAATGGTTTAGCTTTGACATATTTCTCATCTTTGTAGATCTCCTGCTAAAAAAGAAAGACAGAAGAAATTCTATAATACAAATTAAATTTCTGACACTTAATTTTCTGCTGTAAATCATTTAGCAATAATAAATGTTTAATGCAATATTTGACTCTCCTCTAATAATCAACGAAAAATAATCAATTAAAGCAATTTTTTAATTCATAATATACAAACTTTTTTATTAAAGTACAAAAATTCAACTTACATGTTAAATTAAACTGTAATAGGTAAAGAGAAGCTAACTTAATTTCTACGATTACAACGGAAAGATCCACCAGAGAAAAATAATTACAAAGATTGCAACTAATAAATCTCTATTAATCTACAATATTAATTTCAATTAATAACCGCATTGAGATGGATTCTTTCAAGAATCCAGTGAAGGCGCGAACGGTACATGTCAGAAACGTGGCTCGTGATGTCTATCGCGGTTTCGAGGAGAGCAAAGCGAGAGAGACGAGAAATGGCTTTACGTACAGGCTTCGTCCCGTTCCGAGGGCAATTGTTGTGCAGGACTCCGAGGACGGCGCGTTTCGTCTGGTGTAACACTTGTGTTTGTGTGTTCACGGTAGCAGCGGCGGTGGTAGTGGCGGCAAGGTTCTCCTTCCCGCGTCCGCGTAAATCGCCGGTAATGCGATTCTCCTGATCCTCCTGGTGTATCCTGATTGTAGCCATTATCGCCGTGACTCGCGTGATAATATCCCTCACGCACGAAATTCAGTCAACAACGTGTATGGAACCGTGAGACTCCACCGCCGGGACGAGACACCGGGTAACAATAAAAGACTGTGATAAATAACAACGTGCGCGCGCCCGTCCCGGTTTCTTCGCGTTCCGCGACGAAACGTAGATGCTCCCGAACGTCTCTACAACTGATCGGGCATGACAGGAATTGCGGGAAATTCGGGCGCACTCAGCAACCAACGGGTCACGGTTGCCGTTTGATTTCAAACAAACGTAATTCCAACAGCTGGCCGCTGGCGGGACGTTATCGAAAGCGTTGCGCAAAATTGGCCAATGGTAAGCGTGGGAAACGTATCGGCCAATCGCAGCATTGCTCATTTGACTGCGCGTTCACAAATACATCCTTTTGCGCGCTCGCGCGTGCGCCGATTTTAAAAGCGAGAGCACTTAAGCTATATCACAATGATGCATCCAGGAGCGATCGTTTACTGAGCGCTCAGTGAGCTCTTGTATTTGATTGGCATATTCCATTAGATCTAAAAATATAGATCAAACAGATACAAGAGCTCAATGAGCGCCCAGTGAGCGGTCGTGCTTCTGGATGCATCTAATGTGAGATAACAGTGATAAGAATAGTAATAGGAAATATAGGAATGGATATAGAAATAAATAATAAGTCGCTTTCTGTTGCACAATGTCGTGAAAGAAATAAAAATATCAACTAATCTGATCTCATATATAGACTGTAGTATATTCTTCCATCTATTTCAAGATAGCACATATAAACAGAATGAAAAATCTGAATGCTGATTGGTAGGCTTTTTATAAGGTAATATAAGGACACAGAATTCCAATTCGTCGGAAATTGATCACTGTTGTCTGATTCTGTGTTCCTACGTGCATTATAGTGAGTTTTTGCACATGTTTGGTCTATATTTTTAGATCTAACGGAATATATATGCCAATCAAATGCTAGAACTCACTCGCTCAGTGAGGGAGAACTTAAGGCTTCTGAATATAATCATCACAACTATATTGAATCGTGACGTCAGAAGCGAGATATAAAACGTTAATTTTTAAATACCATTTATAAATAAAGACAATTTGGATAAAACAATATAATAAGATTACTTTAAAACATTTGTAAAAATGGACGAAAACTATGCTCTCTGTAAGTAAATCGTAAAAAGTGATAAAAAGCACATGAAGTGCTTTTATTCAATGTGCGTGCGTGGCTTATTTTCACTTATATGTGCCTTTTATTACTTTTTATGATTATTTACTGACTATCAGGGGGATAAGCATAATTTTCGTCCATTTTTATAAAAGTTTTAAAGCAATCTCATCACTTTGTTTTATCCAAATTGTCTTTATTTATAAATGGCACGTAATAAAAATTAACGTGTCATTTATCGCTTCTGATGTCATGCTTCAATATGGTTGTGGTGACTACTCAGGAGCCTTAAGTCTTAAACACAATACGAGACAATAGCGATAGTCCGATAGCGATAGAAATAACAATAGCGATAGCAATAGAAACAGAAGAATCCAACGTTCGAAAATGCATATATAAACGGCTAAGTTTTAAAAGTTTTATAGCACAAAAGAAAACTTTAAGCAAACCAGTTATAATTAAATTTGCAATAAAATTGAATTCAAATATGACAATTTTTTGGATAAATTGGATTACATTCTGATTAATTTAGTGAATTAATAATTATTAGTGATTTCTGTTTTATATTTTGCTATTATAATATTACTAATTTTCTGCTTTTTAATACGGAAAAAAATTAGAGTAGACTAATTATAATATACTTAGAAATTAAATTTTAAGTAATTATAAATTAATTTCTGATTATATGTTATAATTATATTGAAGTTTGCTCGCTTTTAAGAAGTAATTGTAAATCGCGCCTTATAGATTACCGTAAATATATAATATAAATATGTAAATACATATCTAAGACTTTGTTTATTATCTGCCCCTTCTGTTTACAATGTACATGAAAATATTAACTGTATTGACCTTTTCGAATTTCGAAGGCAGATGCCATACAGAAAGAATAAAAGTATCAGTTAAGAGTGCTGATTAAAATAATCTATTGGAAAGGAATTATATTGAAAACGATTGAATATTTTATTGTGAGTTCTTTGATCGGGTCATATTAAACCAACAGATCTCATTTTCATTCTGATTATCTACGTATCGATATCATAATGGATATCGAGATCGATACAAGCGATGAGCGTTATCAAATCGAATATTTGGAGACGCCCATTAAATCAGAGAATGATTTGATGGAATATAGGTAAGATATATGAGAGCAAATATAATATTCTCTTTTAGTAATAACTTTTATAGAAATTTAGTACTAGTATTGGCCAATTAATCATTTTATTTTAAGTATTTTATTAAAAATATATACTATATACATTAACAACTAGTACTTTTAATATTCAAAATAGTCAAGATAAATGATTAATTGGCTAGTACTAGTATTAAATTTTTATAAAGGAAGTACAATTTCGATATGATAAGTATGAGAAACATTAATTATCATAGTATGATGACCTCTTTTGAGAGAAACGTTACATCTTTTACAAGAAACAATTAGGTTTTTTTTTATATGATCAATATTCTCAGTGATGTGTCTTTCACATTTTATCATAAATTTGTTTTTTTTTTATTTAGAGTTATCAAATTACGAAACGGGTTAACAGCTTTGTTAATATCCGATAATGAAAATGAAGATGAAAATGATAGTGACAAAAACAATGAAGAAGATAATGGTCCTTCTGCAGTTAAACGAGTCAAAAAAGAAAAATTGGTATATACAAATAAAATATAACAATAGTGTCATAAGATATGAATTACACAACTAACAATAAAAAATAGAAGAATTTTATCAGTTAAATTTAAACTGCAGGATCTATAAATGCTTATATAAATAATATAAATATAAATAATACTTTAGTGTGAATGTATATATATGTATCCAGAGCTATGCAAACTGCTTATCAAAATCATTTTCGATTTCGAAAGGCAATTCTAAATTAAACTAGGATAAATTAAATTAATAAGCAATTTAATGATATTGATGTTAATAAGCATTTCAAACAGTTGTAAATAATTTGATGTTAATTAATAAGTCATCTTGTAATAAACTTATATCGGTATCAAATTATTTATATTTCTTTGCTTATCTATTAGTATTAATGTCATTAAGTTGCTTATCAGTTTAATTTGTGATATATTATTATATCCCATTTCAGGATTATGTACAAATTAATGGAAATAATTGAACGATTCTGATTTCTTACATTTCAAGACTGAAAATAATTTCAGCGTACAGTTGCAAAGGATATGTATAGAAATTTACTAAAGTATTATTTAATCATTAAGATCCAACTTAGATAAGACAATTTAAGTTAGTATTTTAGATTTTTAAGTTTGTATTTTAGATCATTCCTTATATTCACCCTTTATATAATTAAAAGTTTATTAGAATTGTAATATTGAACAAAGATCTACAAAATCATAAAAAATATCTATTCCAGTGAACACAATGTTACATGTAACGTGCTTGTTAGTTGTAATTTCCTACTCAACAATATAACCATAATATAACAGGAATATATGTTATAGCTATATTGTTGAGTGGAAAATCACAACTAACAGATACGTTACATATAACTTGTGTTCACCTCAACTAGAGCCTAAGATTCGCGTATTATTATAGTTTTATCAGAAATTTTTGTTTGAAAAATTTGATTTCTACTATCTGTAAGCTATTTTCAAAAATTCATTTCTAAATGCTCAGTTAAAGATTGTTTACGGATAATCCTATTAATTGTGCAATGTTCATTTTCGGCTTAACATCATATGTGTAATATGTGATGTGTAAATGTGTATACATGCATTTTTTTTTAACACAGAAAGTAGAATGTGGCTTAGACGTGGGAGTAGGCAGATTCAGCGATACAGTAGTTCCAGATCTTTCACTTTTTGTTGAATATATGGTTTCTAGAGGATCCGAAAAATATGAACATGTAATCAAAATATGATGTGTGAATTTATTATAAAATTTATTCTTATAAGTATAAATGCTTAAGTGTCATTTTACTTGCAGGAAAATGATTTTATTGAATTTATCAGTGAGCATAATGGATGTACTAATAGTATGACGGATTATGAGCATACAACATTTTACTTTGCCCTGGTGAAAATTTTTCAAAATTTTTTATATAAGTTTTTAGAAATTTTATGTAAATGTTAGAATTTTTCAGAATTTCTTAATATTACTTTTTAGAAAATTTTTCAGATTTTTAAAAATACAAATTTTAAAATATAAATTGGAATACTTTTTAGAAGTTTACATCTTTTCTAGAATTTTGTATTTAGAAATATTTTTAGACCGGATATTCGTATTATCTACTTAACTTGTTAATCTGCAGATTAACTTAATCACAAGTTAAATTAACCTGCAGATATTTCACCTAATGGGCTTCATGCGATATCATATCATAGATGAAATTTATTGGATAAAACATGAGGTTGAACCTAACTACAAGTTAATCAGATAATGAAAAACCGGATCTTAGATTTATAAAATTTCTCTGTAATGTATAATGTTTGAAAAAAACCTTATCAAATCTGAAAAAGTTTAAGATATTTTTTCAGAAATACAGTTTAAGACAGATTTAGAACTATTAAAATATTGATACATATATGAAAAATTCTAAGAAAAGATATACATTTAGTAATTCTGAAAAGTAATCTAATTAGTATAAAAATTCAGAAAAAAAATTTCATTAGAGTGATATTCAAAAGGATGAATTGTCATCAGCTCTTGATCGTTTTACTCATTTTTTCATTAAACCCTTGATGAAAAAAGATGTCATAAAGCGGATGATAGCGACTTTAAAAAACGGTACATAAATTATAATCGTAATATTGTCGCAAGTTGCAGTCTTTTAATGTGTCATATTCATATAGAGTTGCAGTTGTCTTTAACTTATGACGTGCCCAGAAAAAAAAATCAATTACTATCCTCTACCGTGCCAATTGGACATCCAGTCAATAAATTTTCGTGGTCCTATTCAGTAATAATGGGCAATAATATAGATGACAACAAAATAGACAAATTATACGATGAACTACACAAATTTAGAGAACGTCATTACAGCGCTCACAGAATGAAGCTAGTTATACAAGTATAACTTAACTCGTTCGTCAAAATAAAAATTATTGATTAAATAGGAGAATTAACTTATAAAGTATAT